CCTTGTCCATCCAAATGTGTAATTGATGAGGCTGGAGTTGTCACTACAGAGATTAATCCACAGTATCAGCAGTGGATTGTTCAAGATCAAGCTCCTATGACTCTTATTAATGCCACACTTTATTCCTTTGCCATTGCACATGTTGTTGGCTATACTACATCTCAGGATGTCTGGCTTGCACTGGAAAGAAGATTTTCCTCTCAATTCAGAGCAAATATTCTACAACTTAAATCTCTGCTTCAAACTATTACCAAAGGATCAGATTCTATTGATGTCTACTTGCAGAAAATCAGAGAAGCTAGAGATAACCTTCAAGTAGTATTGGTTATAATTGAAGATGAAGATATACTGTTGTATACACTCAATGGTTTACCACCTGAATATAGTGCTTTTCGAATAGCAATTCGAACTAGATCTCAGCCTCTTTCTCTTGAGGATCTTCATTTTTTGCTAAAGGCAGAAGAAATTTCTGTTTTAGCATCTTCTAAATCATTTCCAAATTCTTTTAATCCCTCAGCTATGGCTGCTTCACAAGGTAAAGCCTATGATCCTAACTTTCCTCGTCCCAATTGTGGTTCAAGCAGAGGAGTTTTTGGTTACAGAGGTCGTGGATCTCATCAAGGAGGCAGAAACAATTTTGGTAATAGATCTCATTCTCAATAGTTTAGATCTAACTCCTTCTCATAGTGTTGTTAATTGTTATCATCGTATGAACAATGTCTATCAAGCTCAGTCTTCTTCTTCTCCACCTTTCAATGCTATGGTTGCTTCTTCTGAATATTCTTCCAGTAATAATCAACAACCACTTTTGTCTGCTGTTTCTGATGCTTCTTCTCAGTATTCTACTCTGACTGCATCCACTGCTCACTCCACTCCTAGCTACTGGCTTACTGATATTGGCGCTTCGCATCACCTAACCTCAAGACTTGAGGATCTTTCTCTTTCCTCTCCTTACTTTGGAGAAGTCAAAGTTTCTATTGGCAATGGTCATGAACTACCTATTACACATACAGGTCATACCTTTCTTCATACTCCTTATTCTTTCAAATTCACTAATATTCTTCGCGTACCTTCTATTGCATTCAATTTATTATCAGTCAAATAATTTTGCACTGATAACAATTGTCAATTCTTGTTTGATTCTAACTCTTTTTCTATTCAGAACAAAGTCACAGGGCAAATTCTCTACCAAGGCAAGAATAATAATGGTCTATATCTCATTCATGCACTCAGCCACTCTTCTATCTCTCCTTTTGCTTACCTTGGATCCAAAATTTCTCATCACACTTGACATCTTGCAAATCCAGTCTTACATAAGATTCTATCTACTTCCAAGTTACCACAACCTCAGTCTTCTAGGCCTGCTTGTGTTTGTGAATACTGTTTGTATGGCAAAATGACCAAGTTACCATTTTCTATTTCTAAATCTAGATCTGTAACCCCTCTTGATACTATTCATAGTGATGTCTGGGCCCCTTCTCCTCATGTATCTTTCCATGGTTTTAAATACTACATTTCCTTTATTGATAGCTATAGCAGGTTTACTTGGATTTTTTCTTTGGTTTCTTAAGTCTGATGCTTATTTCTGTGTTTACTAAGTTTAAACCCTTTGTGGAAAAACAACTATCTCGTTGCATTAAGGTTTTTCATTCTGATGGAGGTGGTGAATATCTTAGTTCTTCTTTTCTTGATTATCTTGGTGCCCATGGCATTTATCATACCAAGTCATATCCTTACACTCCTTAGCAAAATGGTATTGCTAAAAGGAAACATCATCACATCACTGAAACTGCTCTTACTTATTAGCCAGAGCTTCTTTGCCATATGAGTTTTGGTCTCATGTCTTTGCTGCTGCTACTTATTTGATTAATAGAATGCCTAGCAAAAACACAACCAACAAATCTCTTTATGAGCTTCTGCACAACATACTTCCTGATTATTCAGCTCTCAAAATATTTGGTTGTGCTTGTTATCCTCTACTTAAGCCTTATTCTAATCATAAACTTGAGCCTAAGACTACTCAGTGTGTGTTCCTTGGTTATCCTTTTGATTACAAAGGTTATTTGTGCCTTGATCCTCAAACCAATATAATTTATACATCTAGACATGTTATCTTTGATGAAACAACCTTTCCTTATGCTACATCCTTTTCTTCTTCTCCTTATATTCCTTCTGATCCTAGTCAGTGGTTTCCTATCTCTACTTCTCCTAGTACTTCTCAGTCTTCTCCATCTTCTCTCTTGGGCTCTCCTCCTTCTGTTTCCCTTATACCTTCTACTGAGTTACTTCCTCTTTTTCTTTCTCATCCATCAGCTACTGTACCTACTACTACATCTTTGTCTTCTTTTCCAGAACCGGCATCCTCTACTTTCCCTATATCTTCTGACATATCTTCTTCCAATTCTGATATGTCTAATTATTCCCCAAATCCTACTTCATCAGTTCTGCCCCTATCTCTTTCTACTCACCCTATGCAAACTAGAGCTAAATTTGGTATTTTCAAGCCTAAAGCCTACATTTTTGCTACTTCAGTTGCTGAACCTAGCTCTTTTACTTCTACATCTAAATTTCCTAAGTAGAGACAGACTATGTTTGAAGAGTTTTCTGTTTTGCAGCGTTAGGGAACTTGGACACTGGTTCCTCCTTCTAACCACTCTCCTATTGGTTGTAAATGGGTTTTCAGAATCAAACACAATTCTGATGACACAGTTTCTAGATATAAAGTCAGATTGGTGGCCAAAGGATTTCATCAAGAACATGGAGTTGATTATCATGAAACCTTCAATCCAGTGGTTAAACATGCTACAATTAAGTTTGTTCTTGCCCTTGCTACTCAATTCCACTGGTCTACTATAGGATATCTTATTTTTTTTGGAGATAATCCCATTCATTGGTCTACAAAGAAACAGAGTATTGTCTCTAGGTCTTCTATTGAGGCTGAATTTCGAGCTCTTGCTCAAACTGTTGCTAAGCTTAAATGGTTGCAAATACTTTTACAGAGTCTGCAATTGTTTCCAGCTCACACTTCTACTTTTTGGTGTGATAACATTTCAGCTTTGGCACTTGCATCTAATCCCATGTTTCATGCCAAAACTAAGCATATAGAGATAGACTTTCATTTCATCCGCGAGAAGATGACAAATAAATCTCTAACTGTCCAGTATATTTCTACTAAGGATCAGTTGGCTGATGTATTCACCAAAGGTTTATCTTCTGCCAGATTTTTGCTTCTCAGAGACAAACTACTGGTTGGTCTCCCACCATCAGTTTGAGGGGGTGTATTATACAATACCAGCACTACACACAAGCAATTCTCATATATCAGGTACTGTAATGTGAAGGGATGCAATTCTGTTGTTGCAGCAACTAACCTACAAGTCTATCTATTAGTTAGTTAAATCCTAGCTGGCATTGTAACTTAGTTTTGATTATAAATACTTGTACACTGCAACAGAGAATGTATGAAAAGAAATCTTTGTTTCTCTTAATTTCTTTGTGTACATCTATCTTCTTCTTCAAGCTTTTTATGGATTCTATCAAATATGACACGATACAGAATGGAAACATGCAAATAACATAACCATCCCTACCTCGGCTCCACAACATATTTTTTTAAAAAAAGAGTATTTTGGAGGTCGATGCCTAGGCTTAATAGGGTTCCAAAAAAAAAACTCACTCTTCAATTTTCTTTTGGATTAGGTCTTTGTTGAAAAGTCAAAACAATAGATATAACTAACGCCTTTTAAAAATTGTAAAAATAACGATAATTTCATCACTTAATTGAAGCAGATATTCTAAAAAATTATATCATCATAATGTAACTTCTTCTCTATAAACACAAATTGTAAGACAAGTGTACTAAAAAACAAATTGTCAAATAAATACACTAAAAATATAATGTATCTTCTTCTCTATAAATACATATCGTCAGATAGGTATACTAAAAATATAATGTATATTTTTATCTATAAATATAGATCGTCATACAGGTACACTAAAATACAGATCGTCATACATATATACTAAAACACAAATTGTCAAATCCACCTTAACATGACTTAGTTTCAATGTCATGAAGCAAAAAAAAAAACCATAAAAACGAACCACCTATTATCAAACCTTCAAATTCAAGGGTTTAGAAGCGTGCAACAGTCACAACATATCATATACTACAAATAACATATACAATCATTCAGAAATGTTATACAAAATATACATCCACAAGATAGATACATCAATATATTAATTGGGAGAGAACCATATTTTCTTGAATTGCAGAAAAAAAAATCCTCAATTCAATTAAGATGTAATATAGCATGTAAATACCCACAAAACTAAAAATTTTCATAAGAACTAGAATCTTCAATGAATGACAATAGCCAACATTCATGAACTTGGCATACCCAACATGAACACAGCTTCCATAAGTTTGCTTTCTTTGATGAACAGACACACACGAAGAGCAAAGTGAGAGAGAGCACCAATCTCATTGCTTCACATTATATTTGTAACAGTAGTTTTTGGTTGTGATCTGTAGGCTGGTCTTGCTTCAAAATTTTGTTCTTTTCATTTTTATCATCAGTATATTAGGTACGCAATTAATCCTCAATGGCAAACGCCGAAAAAGGAAATTGATTATATTTTAAGATGAAATCAAGTGATAAGAACAAAAAGGTAATGAAAACTCGCTGATTACCCAACCCTTAACGTTTGCGCTTGTACAGGGACTGCATCTCATTTTTTTAAATATACTGAGGACTTTTTTCTATATTAAAAATTCGGTTGGACTAAAATTAATTTACAAATCAAAAGAAGGACTCTAGCCTAATTAATTAAAAAAATTAGTCTGAACTCTTGGGCCATGACACTAATTGGGCTTAGTAATGGACCCGGGAGGAATATGGAGAAAGGACTTCAATCCAGGCCTAGATCATTGGGCCATAATCCCACAGCCTTTAAAAAACTTTTAATTTTAGGGCTCTAATAGAAAATTTGAATGCAGAAGAGCGAAAATGGCACCTGAACCGAAGAGGAGGAAAGTTGATGGTGTCGCATCTCGCAGGTAATCCATCCCCCAACACTACTCTATGAATGTCTTCCTATAAAGCTTGTTCTTAACTTATTTTCACTCGTAATTATAGGAAATTTTGGTTTACAATGATTTTGCTTTTATAAATCTGTCAAAATTATGTTTAAGCATGTGTTGGGTGTTTTTTTTTTTTTTGTTTCTTGTTTTGGTTCAATTTAGAAGTTGTTTGCTGTTATTTTTTGATAATTTTTAGTTTTTGGAAGTCAATCGCAGAGAATTTCAAATATGTTCATAATTTTGCAAAAATTAAATAAAATCGTGGGTCATGTATAAATCACATAAAAAGCATTCAAGCAATGTACGAATTGGGGTTTATTAAAATTTTGTGTGTTCATTCAACTTCTGGCTATTATGGTTCACAAAAAGGGAATTTTGTATTTGTTGAGGTTTAGATTTGTGGATTGGATTTATTAATTTGTGTCATCTATAAATTGATTTGGGAAGCAAATGAGGTTATTTATTAGATTGCTAGCAGGTATTATGAAATTTAAATTGTGAAGCTGATAGTCAATGTAATTTGAAGGTGAATCTCCTTTTCTCACTGATGTTCAGAAGTGGTTAATTTATGTGTACATATAGTTGATTTTAGGATCAAGTTCTTGTTTGAGAAAGGAAATATATGGTATGCGTGACTATTGTGAACCTTCTTCATGCAAAACTATTTTGTTGATCCATTTTCTTCTTATGAATTGCTCTTTCCTATTCAATTTTCTTTTATAATTATATTCCAACTTTTTAATCCCTATGTTATGTCTTTTCAACAAATAAAAGATTAATCTTAGGTGAGCCTTATTAAATACCATTGTAACACTGACATTAGTTATAGGCACTTATAGCAGTAAGGGAACCTCCTCCTTCCATTTGAATGGTACCTTTTGCATATGCAAATAAGCTGTCTAATTCCTCGAAATGAGCTGAGTTGTGTAATTATTCGTCAACAAGAGCAGTTTTCTGGATTTTTTTAAATGCTGGCCTTCTTGTCTACTTCATTTTCTATGTTTTGAATGCACTGTCTAATGCAAGCAGACAACCCTTCTCATTGCAGGACTGCCTCTTCACAAGCTGAAAAGAAAGACGCAGTTGAAACATCTATGAATAGATCACCAGTATGCATTTGCTCCTCAGTTGTTTCATTGTTTTACATATAAGGCTATTGTTTGTATGACCCTGTTTTTGATTATATTTGACTTGATATGCAGGTTTATGTGGCTCAAACGAGTGGTTCTCATCTTAAAATTCAGCAAGCTAGGAATCATGCAGTAGCACAGGCACAGCAAGAGTGTTGTACAGGAAATTTCAGAATCTTTGACTCTCCCTATGGGAATTTTCTGGTGCCAGTAATTCCAACTCGTGCTGAACTTGGCGGATAGTTTCATGCCTTCAGCTGATTTTACTCAAAGTAAGTTGTAAATTGAATATGATTTTGTACACTAGCATTTATACATGCATCAAGATGGGCAAGGTTTATGCATGAAGATCTAACCTGGAAAACTTGGACTGCCATTGATTCTGGCCATGGATTCCAAATCCCAGGCTATGGAGATCTAGTTTTAAAATCTTCCTATTGTAGTGCCTGTCATGCAAGGCCAGATATAAGTCGAGTTTAGCTTCTCTAAATTCGACTCAATCCAAAAAGCTCTGACCTAAATTCAGCTGAGGATTTAAGGGCTCGGGCTCAAATTCATCAGAATAATGTTGTGCACCCAGGCCAAGGTTGGCCAGAAGAAATCATCTGTGATATGTGTTTGTGCATACAGAAAATCTAGTTGGGATGATTGAGCATAACACTCATTTTCTATATCCATCCTTTGTCCTCCTCTTCTTTGATCTTAGTAAAAAAGTTCTTAAACATAAAGAGGTTTTGAAAACTTATCTGTGTGCTTCTAATTAGAAAAACTTTACTCATGTTAAGGAAGGAAAAAAAAAAACAGATCCCTCCCCCAATTTTTCTTCCGCTCTCGCTATTTTCCACCTAAGATCTTTGAGAAAGGATTTACCCCAACTTAATTCCTAGATCCATACCTGTCCAGGTGACAGCCCAAGTAAAAGCCTTCTCTTCAAACTTCTTCCTTTCTTTCTAGCTTAGCAGCTGATAAACACACAAAAAACATGGAGTACATGTTACCATATGTTCTATAGTAACGTAGCTCAAAAGGCTATATAGGCAGAGGAAATTTTCAGTGCTCACCAATCACCACATGCAAGTAGGTGCACATCACCTATAAAATGTTGTACGTATTCAATCAATTGTTATCAGTTGTAAAAGTGTCAGATTTTTTTTTGAAATAATTAATGTGTGTTTGACAAGCGAGAGTTGTAACAATTTTTCATTATGAGCACCACTTGACCCTTGCCATGTAGTGTACCTATAAGCACTAAATATTTGTTTCTACCACAGTTTGAGATAACACTGAAAGCTGAAAGCGAACTTGCCTGCCTCCCACACACCTGGTTTCATTTTTCTTCAAAGCAGATTCTTATTTGGTACATGAGACAGGAACCTATGGGACCGCTCTTTGGTTCCAAATGGAACCCATGTTCTTTTGTTTTTTTGGTTCAACAGTCAGGAGTGTTCGGATTTACGTGTACTTCAACTAATCTTTTCCTCGATCTAGTCAAAGGTAGGTCATCTACGTCAGGACTAGGGTATTCATGAGATATAAATTTTTTATGATCTGATCTCAAGAGATTGACAAGATTTGAATTCAAGACGTCTGTGAGCTACCCATTGAGGTTCATGGAACCCATGTTCAACCGTTGGAAGTAATGACAAGTTGCTTATGCATGTGGAAGCCACATTCATTTTTGGGTTCATATGCTTTTGGTTAGGTCAGATTGGACCTAACTTTGCTTATAAACATTGCTCTAAATCAGCGGCTGATCCAATTGTAGGGCCGGTTTTGTGGAGCTTCAAGTTGTCAGCTTCTAGCTTTTCAGTTTCACTAAGGTGTCAATTCATTCTTTGTGAAATGTGTTTATTGTGTAATGTCGTGTCATTTTAAATTAAGTATTATGATATAATCATGTTTTTGTATATATAATGGACTAGAAATTTGAGGACTAATACTATCTTTTCTAACAACCAAATCAACTGTACATATATCTCTGTACATTAAATCTGCTTGATCCATATATCCTTTTTATCCTGTTATGGATAATCTATCTTTGACTAGACAGTGGACGAAACTAATCGAAGTACACGTAAATTATTTTGAACATCCTTGACTTTGACTGATTAAAAAAAAAAAGTCGAGACATATTCCAATGGGCTAATCACGTGCTGCCGTGAATGTTTATGAGCTAAATCTCGATTCATGTGATGAACTATATTCTTCTCGTGGCTATAATCTAATATTATATTATTGAGAATAAAGAGATAGTAAGTTAATTACAACGGCAACATGTATTAAATTTTAAGCTCTAATTAATGTGGTGTGACTGGAGATAGAAAGAAAACAATTGTTTTCATTCAAAGGGTAGATGGGAGCAATCCAAATTGATCCAATGCTAGTGAGATGTTCAAATTAGGCATGCGGCAATGTTTGACATAGTTTGTTAATTTGACACAAAATCAAAACAAAATTAATAGATTGAGTTTAATATTAGTGCATTTCGGTGGATTAGATAGACTTGTTACATAAATGAGTCAATATTAACATCTATATAATAAAGTATAATATAATTCAAATTTCAAAAAATAAATAAAATTATTTTTGTCATTCGCGGTTGAAATCTCTTCAAATTTTACTTTAAAGTTAATTCGATGATTAATATTAACACTCAAATTTAATAGTAATAAGAAAAATAATTCTCTAAAGGTGTGTTTTGGATGATTTTTTAAAAGTATTTTTATAACTTTTTATAAGTACTTTAAAAAAAATGGTGTAGAATCAACCCACCAACACCTCTACCACCACAACCGTTGTCGACACAACCACTTTCGTCACTCTACCATCACTGTTGCAGCCACCCCACCCCCATTGCTATTGTCCCACCACCACAGCCACCCACTACCATAACTCGCCACCACACGTCATCGTACACCATCGCCACCGGTCATTATCATGCATCCCCACCACACCGACTACCAACACCCGTCATCAGTAATCACGGTTGCCATCTATTATCACGTATCTCTACTATGCTTACCACCATCACCACCACCACCACCGCAATTCGCCATCACCCATCATACTATCTCCTAGAAGCACTCATCGTCATCTATCACCATCATCGTCATGGCCCACCACTACAACCCATCACCACCACTGTCAACTACTATCATCGTTGCGCACCCAACACCACTATCGCCATTATTCACGGTTATCACTATCATTGTCGTCACCTAAAATCTACCATCACAATCACTGTAGCCACCTGCAGCTTCCACCACCATCATAGTCGTCGCTACCCATCACAACCATCATCGTCTGTCACCACCTCTGCCGCCCAGCACCACTACTACCGCTCACCTCCATTATAATTGATGCTTAAATTTCTCTCTCTCTCTTCTATCTTTATAATTTAATTTTTAGAGTGAATACAAATATACTTATTATTGACAATTTTTTTTTATTAATTTGTGCCTTCAGGCACGGGTAATAGTTTGTGAATTTGACACAAAATCAAAACAAAATTAGTAGATTGAGTTTAATGTTAATGCATTTCGGTGGATTAGATAGACTTGTTACATAAATGGGTCAATATTAACATTGCAAAATACGACGAACTAGTAAAATATAATTTATATACAGTATAAATTAAATACAATATGTATCTATTTGTACACAATTATAAGCGTTGATTATGAATTTACCAAATTGTGACACAATGCAACAAGACCCATTACGAAATTTATGTACCATTGATTAAAATTAAGGAATGTATCACGAAAAAAAAAAAAAAAGAGCCAGTGTACATTTTTGCCCAAGTGAAAGATAAGTGAAAAGTTATAGTGGGAGGTGGCATGTAAATCATAATCTTATTCTAATCCACTTGAATTTGGCTGATTCATCTAGATAAGAATTTACAACAAAAATTAGAATATTGAATTTATATAGTCAATTCAAACTTTAATTCTGGGACCCCCATTAGAGCTTTGCAACTTAATGATAATGTAAAATATCTCAAAAGCAACAAATCAAGGGACCACTGGGATATTTTTTGTTCTATTTTTTTGTAATCGTCTCTTCAAATATTTCTTCTCTTCTTTTTTAATGATAAATTAATATTTATTTCAATTATCGGATCATCATCCTCAAGAATTTACATACAATATAGAATTCCCAATCATAAAAATTAAATTGATCGTTAAACGAAATGATCGATTTACTATTTAGTTGACTTCTCAAAATTGAATTAAATTGATTAATAAGTCAAAAATAAAAAATAAATCTTTTTTTTTCGGTTCAACGATTAGGGATGTTCAAGTTAATTTATGTATATTTTTATTAATTTTTTTCTCAATCTAATCAAAAACAGACTATTTACACCAAAAATTTGAGTAAAAGATATGCACTTAAACAAAAAAAATGGTTTTTAACTTTTTATGCATACATTGGACAATTTAAGTAGGGTTTGACTATAATTTTTCAAAAAAATACGAGAGGCAAAAAATAAATCTAAATGATTATCAAAATTGAATTAAATTGATTAATTGCTCAAAAACAAAAGTAAATCACTTTTTTTTTTAAATCAATGACCAAATGTATTAAGACCAGTTTATATATTTCTTGATCAAATTTATCGATGTAGCCAACAATAAGTTATCCAAATCGAGAATCGAAGTAAAAGATATGCACTCAAACAAAACGTGGTTTTTGACTTTTTACACTACGTAAGACAATTTACGAGGGGTTTGACTATAATTTGTCAAATACAAGAGGCAAAAAATCAACCATGCAGGAGTGACCTCGAATTACTCAATATTATATTCATATGAGCAGTCCTCGTTAGGAAATAAATATCCAATTTAACCCCAAATAAAAAGCAAAATCTTTCTTGGCCCCTCTTTAACTCTGTTTTCTTTCTCGTTTTCTTTTCCATTGAAATTTTACGACAAAATCGTCCGAAATTTATTCTGTGCCCATTCTTTACACCCATCCATCTCTCTCTCTCTCACAGACCTCCTCAAACACATGTGCTATCCTTCAACTTTTCAATCAGAAAAAAGACAACCCAATCAAGGTACCTCCATTTGAGAGAAGAAAGAGAGAGCTTTTTCAGAGAGAGAAAATTTGTTAATATTGGTGGATTGGATCGATCTGTGTGTGAGTTTTGGTTATGGGGAAGGTAGCGGTGGGGGCAGCGGTGGTATGCGCCGCGGCGGTGTGTGCTGCGGCGGCGTTGGTGGTGCGCCACCGAATGAAGAGCTCCGGTCAGTGGGCCAAAGCAATCGCAATATTAAAAGAGTTACAAGAGAAGTGTGAGACCCCCACAGGGAAGCTCCGGCAGGTGGTCGATGCCATGACGGTGGAGATGCACGCCGGACTCGCATCTGAAGGGGGTAGCAAGCTCAAGATGATCATCAGCTACGTCGATAACCTACCTACTGGGTATATATGCATATCCAAATATGTTCTTATACGTATATAGTTTTTGAGATTAATTTTGTTGGTTTTTGTTGATAATAAATAATAAATTAGTTTGCGACCAAAAGCTTTTAACTCAGAAATGTCTTTAATGTAACTGTTATCAATAAATCAAAAAGATTTTTAACATAAATGTATTTGGGAATGTATTTGTACACATTTTTTTCTAAATCATTGATTGATTGATTTTGATGGAAAGTGGTTTTCTTTGCTAAATTTTTACAATTTGGAAGTATTAGTTATTCAATCAAACTGGTTTGTAACTTTCAATTATTGTAGCTCTTATATATACAGGGATGCCTGTGGACGCCCAATATTATGATTTAATACCTCATTTATTGGATTGATATAAAGGTTTGAATTTAGAATTATTTTGATAGTTTGATGGGAATGTTAGTTATCAAATTTATTTCTGTTTTTCCTTTGATTGCAGAAAATATAATAAGATTGATTAGAAAAAGTTATTCTTTTTGTCAATTAATAGATTTTTTGGACTTTATTTCCAATATCCTTTGGATGTAGCTACTGATGAATTTAGTGATTTTTATTAGCTGCTCTTTTTTACTCTATGACTTCACATAAGATTTTAAATATGATAGAATGTTTGGTATCTGCAAGATATACTATGAATGCCAGATATCATTACTTTTTATGTTTTTTATTTTGTGTAAATGAAAAGGAATAAGTTTGTGTCTAAATATGGGTTCTTGTTGTGGTACTCTGGAGTTGGAGGAATATGGTCCGCTGAAGGTGGCTTGAGTTGAACTTTGTATTCGGATATGCATATTCCTGTCCTTGTTTGGAATATTGGTTTTTGAGTTTGAATTTTGATTTGTGGGAATCTCATTCTGAGATGGGCAATCTCCTGTTTATCTAACTTTTTCCTCCAAACTTTATGCTTGTCTGGTTTTTTGATTATTCTGAAATTAGTTATTTCTAGAAATGTGCAGTTGCATATAATTTCTTCTTTCTGTATGATCTTCTTAGTCAAATGACCACCTTTTGATTTCCATAGTCGGCTTTGTTCTTTTGTTTTGGCCTGTTGCTACTACTGAAACTTTCTACTTTTCACTTTCCCCCCTTTAAAGCTCATGTTTGACCTTTAATTGCTGGTTTTGTTTCACTTTAATCCTTCTTTCAACTGGCGACTGTCTGTTGTTCGTTGACTTGATAAAGTCAGAGCTCTGATGAAGAATTATAAAGCTAAACACCACTTCCAATTTGACAAACAACTAAACTGATTTTGCCAAATGTATGAATTGATGCTGTTTGTAAAGGTTCTTCCTCTAGATTGTTGGATGTCTTCCTAAAGTAAGGTTATATTAACTGTGTGTTTTGTGAGAGCATAATAGAGACAGGATTCACAGTATGTATTGATTGAAGGGTATTTAGACATTTTCTATGTACTTACACTCTTCTATTATGGTTGACCTGTGTATGTAAATATGTCGATTATAATAGGAAATTATAAGATCAGGTTGATAGAATAATGATGGTTTATATTATCTATGATGCGGAATAATTGGATGGTCATGGATGATGGATTTCTCTTCTCTAGTCTAGACAGTGAATAAATGTTTAGCTCATAGTTACCTAATAGAATATACTAGAAACAAAAAAGAAGTGAAACCCCTTTGGATATGGAAGAATCTTATCCAAATATTTTCTAGATCTCTAATGGTGGTACGTGGAAAAGGGGTTGAACCTGGCTTTGAATTTCATTCTTTTTTGCTCTATAGGGATGAGAAAGGATTATTTTATGCATTGGATCTTGGTGGCACAAATTTCCGTGTCTTGCGTGTACTGTTGGGTGGGAAAGAAAAGCATGTTATCAAACAAGAATTTGACGAAGTTTCGATTCCTCCACATTTGATGGTTGGGACTTCTGAGGTGATTATCTATTTTGCTCTCCATGAGTATCTGACGACGATTAGAATAGTTTCCTTGCACTGAAACTACGAATTATGGTTATTTCAGGCATTATTTGATTTTATTGCTGCGGCACTTGCAAAATTTGTTGCTACTGAAAGTGAAGATGTTAATCTTTCATCCGGTAGACAAAGGGAGCTGGGCTTCACTTTTTCGTTTCCAGTTAGGCAATCATCAATTGCATCAGGCGCTCTTGTTAAATGGACCAAGGGTTTCTCTATAGAAGATGCGGTTAATCTCAAGTACCTTTGCTCTTTTTTATTGAATCAAAATTATGCAACCATCTTTACAATTATTATCAACTATCAATTCTGGATTCAAATTAAGTTCAGTAATACATTTTAAAGGAATTGATGGCAGTGACTTTATTGGGAAAATTGTTTGAAATATATGCTGCGTTTTGTTCTGTATTTCTTCTATCAAAAAATGTGGCAGTAGGTATACCGATTGCTGTCTAAAATAAATGATTTCTTTTTCTTGATTCGTTAGTTTGGCGAAACTTTGCGTTCCATTATGTCAGGACACAGAAACAATTGGACAAGGCAGTGAAACACACTGGAAAACTCTTGCCCATTAGATCTGTCAGAAGTCAGAACCTGTCCGTGCAGCTTTGGTCTAATGCTTTAGTTTTATCTCCTCATTTGTACAAGGTTTCGTAGTTATCATAGTCTGTCTGGTTACCCTCAGGTTGTCGCATGTTTGTTTGCTTAGATTTCATAGGCTGTTTGGCGATTTGCAAAATCTGATCCCACACAGTACACTCCCATTAATTTTCCTTTTTTTTTTTTTTGGGAAAAGAAAGCCTCTATTTCATTCAGGTTTTAGCTTACGTTATAGACAGCAAGTGAATCTCCTTTTGTTCAAGAGGATATACCAGGTGCTAAAACCCTCACAATTGGTCTTTTGTGGCCCACCAAAGCAGTTCTGGCCTGTCCCAAAGGACCGACTTTGCAAAGTTAGGGGTTTCTTGATTGACTAGTTGTGTAACGGTAGGTACGGGGATCTAATTGGCTTCATAAAGCCTGATAAACAAAATCTACTTTACCGGGAATGTAAATTCTTGGCAATATTGAAAGCAGATTGTCTTACTCTTTCCACTTCTTGGGCTTTAATGCTCTTTTGCATTGGCTGGCTTTGGAACAGGTTGGACAAGATGTGGTGGGAGAGCTGTCAAAAGCCTTGGAAAGAGTTGGCCTCGATATGCGTGTGACTGCTTTGGTAAGTCTTTGTTGCTGCTGCTAAGATTTTCGTGTTTGCTGGTGAGAGTGGCAATTTATGATTGGTGCTGATCATCAATGTTGCTTATTTGAATATATGACTTTGTATTTTCGTATGATTAACTATTTTCAAAACTAGTATTTTTCTCACTTGCTTGCCTTATTCAGGTCAATGATACTGTTGGAACATTAGCAGGAGGTAGATACAGCAACCCTGATGTTATTGCTGCTGTAATCTTGGGTACTGGAACTAATGCCGCATATGTGGAGCGTGCACAGGCAATTCCTAAGTGGCATGGTCTGCTTCCCAAGTCAGGAGAGATGGTTAGCAGTTTTCAAATGTTTATGCAACGTTTTTCAATTCTGATCCAGGCTATGTTAAATTCAATTCGTTGGTTTTTCTTCTATGTCCCTTGTGCGGATAGAGATGGTGATGGTTTCAAGCATCTGTGGTACATGCATTTCTGTGTAACCTGACACTAAATTTTGTTTGACACTCTAAAGGTTATCAACATGGAATGGGGCAACTTCCGGTCATCACATCTTCCACTAACGGAATACGATCAAGCTCTGGATGTCGAGAGTCTGAATCCTGGCGAGCAGGTCCATATATTGCATTGTATTTGTTTAGTCTTATATAAATTGTCTAATTGGATGTAGTAGCTGATTTCAACTTTCAACCAACTTCTTCAGATTTTTGAGAAGATTATTTCTGGCATGTATCTGGGAGAAATTGTACGCAGAGTTTTGTGCAGAATGGCTGAAGAAGCTGCCTTTTTTGGTGACACAGTCCCACCAAAACTGAAAATTCCTTTCATTTTAAGGTAAGCTAATATTTTTAGAGTCTAGTATTTTAGCTGATCTTTTCCTTTTTCCTTTTCCATCAAGTATATGCCTCATATCTTCTGAGGATGGCTTTCGACAACCAACTTAATTTTGCTTCAGTTCGATAGCCTTCATCATTCGTTCATGATCTGTATGTGGAATTGTTCACCAATGTTTATCAACCTGAAGCCTCGTCTCATATTTATCCTTTTCCATCAGTATAAGCCTCATGTCTTCTGAGTGTTTACAAGTTAATTTTGCTGCAGTTTGAGAAGCCTTTGCCGTCATCTTTAGTTTATAATCTTCTTGTGAAATGGTTGAGTGATGCATATCAACCTATTTAGCGACGAAACTTTCAAAATATCATGATTAAAGAATACTTTCTCTAATAATTTTTGCACTCTTATTTTTGGGTGGTTTGTTCAACAAATATGCATAAATAAGGTTCTTTTCAATCGTCTGTTGTAGACAAGAATAAAAAACAGTGAAAGATGGGATTGAAGAGTGAATTGATCTCTTTTTGTATAGCAACGGACCATTAGTTGCACCATGCTTTTGGACCTGAAGACATCTCTTTATGGGAAAAACTAGATTGATATATGAATATCTGAAGAGGGATCAGTTACTGAATTTACCTAAGCGGTGTGGTTTCTTGATCCAATGGAGTTGGCATAATGGAAATGTGGAGTCATCTCTTCTTTCAAACACCCCCTCCCCTCGTTTTAAAGAAATAAAAAACCAGGGGCATGGCCACCGTGGGTGTCTGCCGTGAATGCAGATTTATGATTTCAACTAGGTAATCTTCTCAAGCATGTGATTTCTCTGGTTGTCTTTCTTCGCTTTGACCGAAAATGTTATATGTGCTGGATGCATCCTTGAGGAGGTGCATTTGTTTATGTAGAATATAGAATGAGGTTGTCCCTCTGGGGTCATCCAATTAATTGGATCGTTGCAGAGCAGAATTCTGGACCAATATCTCCATGGTCTGCGGGTTCTTTCTCTTCTTGATTTCGATTCTCTAAATTTGAAGGCTTTTCAGTGTGATTGAACATCTTTTTCCCCAGTAAGGTTACTGGAACAGTCTTAATAACAGGGTTATAGATTTGTGTTTGCTATAGTGATCGTAATCATAGACAACTCTCCCAGCCACCTAATGCTGTACACCCTACTTACGGTAGGTTACGGCTTTTAACGTGTAAAATATTAGTCTGATGATGATCTTAGCCGTTGATGATACATGAATTGTGCCAAATCCTGCATCCACTGGTCTTTTTCCAGCCAATAATTGTTAGATCCAAATGTCAATCACACAGATTTCTAAATATCAAGCAAACAGTTCATAATTGTTGCATGTGCAGGACTCCTCACATGTCTGCAATGCATCACGACACGTCTTCGGATCTCAAAGTGGTCGGTAGCAAACTAAAGGACATATTAGAGGTATAGTACTCTGCATATGTTGAGTAGCATTAAGTCCTCATTTTATTTCTTCAAGGCCAAATGTACTATTAAGATAGTCTCTTCCATTTATTAGCTTTTATGGGTGTGTGCTTATATGTCAAGATAGAAATTGATGCTAGAATGGTTGGTTGTGAATGTGCTACCCTTGAAGGGCAAAAGTTTTGAGATTTCCTATTTGTTTTGTACATTTTCTCCATGACAGATATCGAATACTTCCCTGAAAACAAGGAAAGTAATTGTTGAGCTTTGTGATATTGTTGCTACTCGTGGGGCCCGCCTTTCTGCTGCTGGGATCATAGGTATTCTCAAGAAATTAGGACGAGACACTGTGAGGGAGGGAGAGAACCAGAGATCGGTCATAGCATTAGATGGCGGATTGTTTGAGCACTACAAAAAGTTCAGAGATTGTATGGAGAGCACTCTTAATGAGTTGCTGGGAGAGGTTTCAGAAACTGTTGTTGTTGAGCATTCGAATGATGGCTCAGGCATTGGAGCTGCCCTCCTGGCGGCTTCTCATTCCCAGTACCTTGAAATTGAGGAATCTTGATTCTAGTCAACGCCACTGGAATGTTTCCCCCATTTCTTCACAGCTTCCCTCAGAACATTTAGAGCCTTTCTTATTTCTTTGTATAATAGATCATGCCAGCAAAGCCTTAATTTATAGTCCTGTAAGGCTTTGATCCAAGCTATGATTCAACAAGCTCCGGGCCATATCCTGCCATTCTGCTCCTTTTCTAGCATTGTAGAACAGTGCAAATTGTGCAATTTCTGCTTATATAGCAAATAAAGTTGGGGATTGAGGCTGTTTATTTGAGGAACTTTATCCTCTTGTCTTTCAAGCAAATAAAACAGAATTTTGTGTATTTGTGCTTTCGCTTGTGTTTTTTTTGCATGCTATAGTTTTTCATGACAGTATATCTAAAGAATGTGAACCATGTACAGAAGAAAGCTTTCTCCATTAATGTTTGGGCAAATTTCACTGTGCCCCATGGTTTTGCTCAATTACATTTTATCTATGCTACCTCCAAAAAGTTACGACTAGAGTGATTTGTGGACTGTGGACTGGGTTAACACTGCGTACATTTGGCCCTAACCAGCCAGCCTCTTGCACAAACTTTTTTTTATACGAAGAGGAGAAGAAAAGAAAAGGCTCATGCTTCTATTGATTGCTGATGCTTGAGCAGAGTGTGGTTTAACCAAACCTGGATTCAGGTGTGAACTTGAACTTATAGGACACCACTCTGAAGTTGTGTTTTTGTTAGCCTATAGATCGCCTGTTTTTTTTTAACCACGTCATATGGACCGTTAGATTATTGGATCTGTTTAGGTCAAACTAATCATTAGATGATTGTGATTGCACTACATCAATCGATTTGGGAAAGTCGGTGAAAAGAGAAACATTATTGATAAATGGCATCCTTCTGATCTCAGTTATTGAACTCATCAGTCTGAATCCATGGGGTGCGAGAACCCCATTCTAACATTATCTGTATATGCTCTTACATCCTCAATTTATACAAAGTACAATACTCAACCATTTCTTATTTGTAATATGCATTAGCTAGGGAAATGCTATATCCCATAGCCATCCTGGTAGAATCCACAGCGTCCTCCCTCACAGCAGTGGCCCAACATATGAGTAAGAAGGCTAGCTATGCAGCCAACCTCTTGGAGATATGGAAATAGCAGCCTCTATTATGTGTGTGTGTGTGTGCGCGCACGCTTGCATGTGTGTTACTAGCTAAAGCAGGGGCATGTATGCTTGCCCTATTATGTGTGTGCACGTGTGTGTGTGTGTGTGTTACTAGCTAAAGCAGGGGCATTTATACTAGCTCCTGTCATACATCTGTGTGTGTGCGCGCTATCTATATGCCTCCGATGCAAAGGTCTTAACTAGTCTATTGGCATCACCAGCCATATGCTCCTCCACATTTTACAGCCTCCTATGCCTCTTATACAACACTCTAATCCAAAATCATGCTAAATGATCACCAAATGTTGCTTCTGAAGGTATCATCAAACAATCGACGTGAACCCATCATCCTCGTGTTCCACCATCCTCTCGCGCTTAGAATTGTTAAGCAGTGGTGCAGCATCATACTCACGTCCAATGTTTTTCTCTCTAAACGCCATTGGATTGTTGCATCGGAACAAGATCTGCAAGACCTCCTTCATGGTAGGCCTAGTTGAAGGAAATGTGCCAGTACAAATTATCCCAAGTTTGAAAACATTGCTCATTTCATCCAAGTAACATGGCTCCATGATATCCTTATCCAATGCATCTTCTATAGGGTTGCTCTTTTGAACGTGATGCCATGCCCATTCGGCAAGAGAGGTAGTCTCATCTCCATCGTTGGCCTCCTTCCCCGTTACAAGCTCCAAAAGTATCACCCCGAAGCTATACACATCAATCTTCTCGTTCACTCGACTTGTATGAGCATACTCTGAAATTAATGGCAAAAAAATCAGTTCCCAATTCTGCATCATGATTAAAAAGGTGATATTAAAGACTAAATATTACTAACCTGGAGCTATGTACCCGAAAGAGCCAGCAACGGATGACACTGTATTTGGTTCTCCATGCTTCACCAATATCCTGGCTAGACCAAAATCAGCAATTTTGGCATTGAACTCAGAATCCAGCAAGACGTTGCTTGATTTCACGTCTCGATGGACTATTGGGGGTGAGCAGTCATGGTGCATATAGCACAGTCCTCTTGCTGCTCCCACTGCAATCTGCAACCTCGTAGGCCAATCCAAGACTACATGATGGACTGATCCCGAGACAGACGAGGGTCTTCTCTTGCCATGAAGCCAACGATCAAGGCTTCGATTTTCCAAGTACTCGTAGACAAGAAGTTTCGAGTTGTCACTTGAAATACAGCACATCAACTTCACTATATTGGCATGTCTAATTGTGCTTAAAACCTCAACTTCTGCTAGAAATTCTTTCTCTAGCTTCTGATCCAACTTTTTGTCATTCCAAATCCTCTTAACGGCAACATAATCACCCGAATAATTAATGGGAACTCGATATACTTTCCCAGAACCCCCACTTCCTATTGCATTACTTTCAGTCAAACCAGATGAAATGTTTGATGCTGTGAAATTCAACCTCTGGAATGAGGTGAGCTTCCACATCGAATCCAATCCAATCTTTCTCTTTTGGAAGCCTCTAACCACGAACAAGGTTAAAGTCATAGCAATCACAAACAAAACTGCTGATATACTTGAAACAACAACGATGAATTGGGATGAAAATTTGCTTGAATTTCGGGTTTTGGAGTTGCAAATGTTGAGGCCTAATGAAGGTTTACTTGCACAAAGACCAGGATTGTTTAAGAAGCTGCTATCAAAAGCTGAATTCTCGAACTCACTGGGGATTCTCCCAGTGAAACGATTGGAAGAGAAATTAAGCCAAGTTAGCCTTAAATCGCCAATTGCAGGTGGAATTTGACCTGAGAATTCATTTTCCGACAAGTCTAATTCAGTTAGAACCAGTAAAAACCCGATTTCAGCTGGAATTGGGCCAGAAAGCTGGTTTCCACTGAGATTTAAAGTGCTCAGAGACTTCCATGAGATCAAATTTGAAGGGAAATTCCCGGAAAGTCGATTCCTATCAAGCAAAACAGTTGTCAAGTGTGGAAGAGCTGTTAATTCTTGAGGAATTGTTCCACTGAAGAGGTTATTGCTTGCCTTGAACACCGTCAAAGTCTCCCAAGAAGAAATTTCAGGTGGAATTTCACCCGAAAACTGATTATCACTGATCTCAACCAGTGATAAATTTGTTCCCACCCTACCGGGAAGCTTACCCGAAAAAGAATTATCGCTTATCATCAACACTGTCAAATTCAATAATGTCCACAAACCATCAGGAATTTCCCCAGAAAATCGATTTCCATGAATCCGAACAATCAACAAACTTTGACAATTCCCAAGTGATTTTGGCAATTCACCACTAAGATTATTATCAAATGCTACCACACCCAATAACACCCCATGAGCGCACAAATTCTTTGGCAACACACCTGTAAATCCATTTGTTGCAACTTGAAATCCTTCCAGCTTCGAGTATAATCCGAAGTCCGGTGGCAATTCACCGGACAGATTATTGGTGAACACCCGGAAATCTGTCAGTTCCGGTAATCGACCAATACTTGCTGGAATTGCTCCTGATAATTGATTGAAAAACAAACTCAAACCCGCTAACTTTGTGAGCTTTCCAAAATCATCAGGTATTGTTCCATTCAAGTTATTTGCAGATAGATCGATTGCGGTCAAATTCAAGGCCTCAACAGATAGTGGAATAGACCCAGACAATCTGTTTTTGAAAAGATACAATGTAGACAAGTTCTTCAGCAAAAATACACCACTAGGAATATTACCACTCAATTCATTTATTGACAAGTCCAAGACTTCCAAGGCCGTCAAGCTCCCAATATTTTCCGGGATTTCTCCGATCAGATTCATTTCCCGCATCCACAATTCTCTCAGTTTCTTCAACTTTGTAAAACTTAATGGTATTGTTGATGGTACAAAAGAATTGTTCTCCATAACAAGTATCTCAAGATTTGACAAACTACCAATTTCTTGAGGGATTGAACCGTTAAACATGTTTGCATCAAGCTTAAGAGTCTGAAGCCCCAGTAAGCGGCCAATCGCCGGAGGAATGTCACCGGAAAAGTTGTTAAAGCTGAGGCTGAGGTAATAAAGCTGAGGGGATAACAAGTCTATATCATCAGGAATGTGACCGACAAAGTAGTTTTCAGAGACGTCTAAGTATCGAAGCTTGGCACAATTGTAAAGAACTTTAGGAAATGGTCCTGGGATGAAATTTTGCTGAAGTTCAATGAGGGTAAGGTTTTTGAGGTCACAAATGGAGGGTGGAATAGTTTCTGTGATGTTTTTCGCGGTGAGTTTGAGGCTGGTGACATAGCCATTTGTGCAGTTGATTTCTGGCCATGAACAGTGGTTTGATGATGAGTTCCAGTGGTTGATGGAGGGTGGATTGGCCCATTGTTGTTTGAGTTTGAGCAGGGTTGTTTGTTCTGAATCATTGACTTGGGATGTTGCATGGAAGGGGAAAGTGAGGAAGAGAAAGAAGAGGGTGTGGAGGTGAATTTGAAGAGATGGTGGGGTGGGTTTTGACATTTTTGAGAGGTGGGAGTGAGTTAGTTTTGTGAAGAAGTGAAGTACTTAGGTGCTGGCATGGAGAAGAGTGAAGGGCGTTGTGGTGGTTGTGGAGAATAGAGAGGGTTGGATGGGTGTGGATGCAGTTGCAGAGGCAGGGGCTTAATGTAGTGTGAAAAGCAACAGTTGACTTTCAAATTTCAGTCTTGGCGTTCATATTCTTGTGGCCCCTTAAATTCTTATGGTTTACTTTGACCCACTTTTGTTTGACTGACTTATCACCCAATCATGTTATATTTAAATCGGAGTGAAAAATATATTTTACCGTAGAATTTTGATGTGACTTCTAGAAGCCAGTCAACTGATGGAAGATGACCAGGAAAAGAGGGGAAAGAAAAACACCAAGGTTTACAACTCATGTGATAATTATGATGAATCTTGCTATTTTGTGTAATAGATAAAATATCACCATGAAATTTCCCAGAAAGAACGTTATAGAGAAGGAGACCGATTTTTAAAGGAAGACTTGCAATTGTCTACGATCCGAATTTAATGGCATTATTCATGGGAACTCGTTAATCACAAGAATATAATTAAATTTTAATCACACGATTTACATCATACGACCACGATGAGCCCAATGCCATCCGTTTTGATCTAATATCAGCTACTCACAAAATTAAAAAAAATAAATAAATAAATAACATCAGCTATTACAGGTTTTTTTTTGGGTAAGTGGTTTTCTGGTGGACTAGTACAGTTGATACGCTAAAGCCAATAACATCAGCTATTACATTTTTTTTTGGGTAAGTGGTCTTCTGGTGGACTGGTGCTGTTGATAAGCTAAAGCCAAACCAAAACGTATACGGAAACCCTACGGTATTAAAAAATTAAAAAAAATGATATTGTAGCGAAAGTTATTATGTTTAGAGTAATATTAATTTTGATCATGAAATTTTCTTAAGTAGTTGTGATGATGCACAAAAATGATTTTGCACACCACCTGTCAAGTGTAGATAATAAATGCAATGAAATCAATGAGAAAATTAAAGAAGACACAATTTATAGTGGTTCGGTCAATTCGACCTACGTCCACTTTTCAATGGCTTCAGTTGCCGGTATTTTATTGATTCAAGGGTATGGAGAATAGAGATACAAGCTTTGAGAGGGAGAATGGAGAATCAGAGAAAATAATAATCTCCGGTAGTCGGTTCGTCTTCTGTAAGTCTTTGATGGAGCATGTGTCTCTCCTCTTCCAGATTAGAGTCATTTTATAGTAGCTAAGAGATAATTCTTGTGGAGATCATGACATATCCTCAAGGCTTCTTTATCGCAGCTTAGAGATTATCTTTGGTGGAGATCGCGACTTATCCTCCACGAAAGGAAGAGGTTGGGGAGCTCTTCATGAAACGTGGTCAATGATTGGACCGTTTTCTTCCTTCGGTGGTTGCAGATAAACTTCCCGTGCTCTCCTCTTGGTGACGTGCTAAGCGAGAAGTCTAGCCGGCCTTGGGCTTCTTAAGGCGGTGCAGATAAACTTCCCATGCTCTCCTCTAAATGACGTGCTAAGCAAGAAGTCTAGCCAGCCTTGGGTTCCTTAGGGCGGTGCAGATAAACTTCCCGTGCTTTCCTCTTGGTGACGTGCTAAGCAAGAAGTCTAACCGGCCTTGGGCTCCTTTGGCTTGGTGGATTCACGATGAGGTTGGGCTCCTCAACCGGGGTTGGGCTTTAATACATAAATTGGACTACTTGGGCTTAACCCATCATTTGCCCCCCAATGCCCCATGTCCAAGGAGACTTGGAGAAGGAGGCATTGATTACATTTTTTTTTTTTTTAAAGTTTCTTCCCTTTTATTTTAAAAAAGGCCCATAATATCTTGTTTGACCTTTTTGTTTTGAAAAATGGCTTATAACTTTCTTTTTGGCCACTTTGTTTTGAAGAGGGCCCATAATTTTTTATTTGCCTTCTTTATTTTGAAGTGGGCCCATATTAGTCTATTTGGGCTTTTTTCCTCTTTTTGAAAAACCCTAGACTATAAATATAGTCTTCTTCTTCAAATTACCACTTCACTTATTTTTAAGGTTGAGCACCCACCTCTTGAAAATTTTTGAGAACTCAAGTTCTACCCATTTTGTTGAAGCCAAAGTGTGTGTTCTCCTTGAATCCTTTCAAGAGTGTGATTTTTTCCTTGCTAGTTGAGCTTCTCAAGTGAACAATGTCGATTGAAGAGGGATTGGTGGAGGTTGAAGAAAGCTGTGGATCTGAAATTGGAAAGCTGGACAGCGAAGGGGAGATGGGATCGTGGTGTTGGACCCTTAGGGAGTGTACCCCTATTTCCACAGGGATGACCGCCTCGGTTCCGAAGGCGAGGGAAAAAGGAGTCCCCCCAGTAGGGGTTCTTGGTGTGGTTCGATAAGCCCACAGTACACCTGGCAGCTCCTCTACCCAAAGGCCCTTTGCTTTTTTGAGCCTTGTTTTTAAGTTGCGTAGCACGGTTCTTACCATGACCTCTGCTTGTCCATTTGCTTGTGGATGCGCCGGGCTGGAGTGAGGTTGTTTTATTTGAAGGTCAGAACAGAAAGAGTTCAGCAGCTTGTTGTCAAACTGCTTGGCATTGTCGCTGACAATGGCATGGGGAATCCCGAAGCGACAGACCAAGTTTTTCCAGATAAAGTCTTTGACCTTTGCGTCTGTGATTTTTGCTAAAGGTTCTGCTTCTGACCACTTGGTGAAGTAGTCGACTGCCACCACCACGAACTTGCACTGCCCTTTACTAAGAGGCAAGGGGCCTAGGATATCGATGCCCCACTTAGAGAAAGGCCAGGGGCTCGAAATGGTTGTTAGCTCCTCGGGTGGTTGCCTTGGCACAGTGGCAAAGCCTTGGCACTTGTCGCACTTTTTGGAGAACTCCTGAGCGTCCCTCATCATGGTAGGCCAGAAGTAGCCCTGTCTGAGCGCCTTGTGGGCAAGGGAACGCCCTCCAGAATGATTCCCGCAGATTCCTTCGTGGATTTCTCGCAAGGCATAGTGGGCTTCTTCAGGTGAAAGACATCGTAACCATGGTAAGGAATAGCCTCTCTTGTATAGAGTGTCCTGCAAGATGGCAAACTTGGAGGCCCTTATCCTTAGCTTCCTGGCCTCTAGGGGATCATCAGGCTGCACACCCTCTTGGAGGTATGCCTTGATTTGGGTCATCCAGTCTGATTCGGTAGATACACAGTCAACATTATTGGCCTCCATGTCCATCCTGCTGGGCTCGCACTGGTGACCAATTAGTACTGGTTCCCCTGATGAGGCTTCCATGGATGAAGCGAGCTTTGCGAGTGCGTCGACGGCCATATTATCCTCTCTGGGGATGTGATTTATCTGGAAGTAGTGGAATTTGGTGATCATGTTTCTGGCCATGCTGAGATATTCTTGTATTTTGGCTCCTTTGGCCTCGAACTCACCCCTCACTTGATTGACTATCAGCTGAGAGTCGCTGTAGGTGGCAAGGTGTTGAACCTCCATTTCCATTGCTAACCTTAATCCAGAAAGGAGGGCTTCGTATTCCGCCTCATTATTGGAAGCATAAAAGTGGAGCTTCATCGCATATCTGAGAGTGGTGCCATTAGGGCTGATCAAAATTAAGCCCGCTCCTCCTCCTTCACTAGTCGAGGAGCCATCTACATAGAGTTTCCAAAGCAGATGAATGGAGAATTTGGAATTTGAAGTGGAAAACCGGGGAGGTGCAGCCTGTGATGCCTGGGCATGCGGAGGTGCAGCTTGTGGTGCCTGGGCATCCAAAGGTGCAGGAACTAGAGGTGTAGCCTGTGGTGCCTGGGCATCCTGAGGTGCAGCTTGTGGTGCCTGGGCATCCTGAGGTGCAGCTTGTGGTGCCTGGGCATCCAGAGATGCAGCTTGTGGTGCCTGGGCATCCAGAGGTGCAGCTTGTGGTGCCTGGGCATCCAGAGGTGCATCCTGTGGTGCAGGGGCTGGAGGTGCAGCCTGCGGTGCCTGGGCATCAGGAAAAGTTGTTTGGGCTCCTAGGGAGGAGACTTGGGCGCTTTCTTGAGGGTCTTTATTAGGCTTTTTGATGTCTCCGTTGGTCATTTGGGGATCCTCACTGTTCCCATCTTCTGTTGGTGTGAGTTCAGCTACGAAATCTGCTAGGACTTGCGCTTTGATGGCCGTCCTAGGTTGGTACTGAATGTCGAATTCCCCGAGTTCTACTGCCCATTTAAGAAGTCTTCCAGACACGTCCGGCTTTCCCAAGATTCTTTTAAGTGGTTGGTCGGTGATGACCACCATACGATGGCCCTGGAAGTAGTGTCGCAGCCGTCTCGCTGTCGTGACCAAAGCGAGTGCCAGTTTTTCTAGTGCTGAATATCTGACCTCTGCCCCCCGGTATGCCCTGCTCACGTAATAAACTGGTTTCTGCACTCCATTGTTGTTTCTAAGGAGCACTGAGCTTACCGCTGATGGGGAAGCAGATAGGTATAGATGGAGAGTTTCTCCAGGGGCAGCATGTGACAGGAGGGGAGGTGCTGCCAGGTAAGCTTTGAGCTTTTGAAAAGCCTCCTCTGCCTCAGGTTTCCACTCAAAGGCTTTTCAGAGAGTTTTGAAAAAGGGAGACATTTATCTGCAGATTTGGAGACAAACCTATTTAATGCCGCGATCCTTCCATTGAGGCGCTGGAGCTCCTTGGTTGAAGAAGGTGACTTCATGTCAAGAATGGCCTTGATCTTGTCAGGGTTTGCCTCAATTCCCCTCTGATTGACCATAAAGCCCAGGAATTTACCGGACCCCACACCAAAGGCGCACTTCTCAGGGTTGAGCTTCATGTGGTAGGTCCTCAGGACGTTGAAAGTTTTTTGGAGGTGATCAATGTGGTCTACTGTTGCGAGGCTTTTTACCAGCATGTCATCCACGTACACCTCCATTGTTTGCCCGATCTGGGACTGGAACATCTTGTTCACCAGCCGTTGATAGGTTGCTCCAGCGTTCTTTAGCCCAAAGGGCATGACCCTGTAGCAGTATGTCCCCTTTGGCGTGATGAATGATGTCTTCTCTTGGTCTGGGGGATGCATGCTAATCTGGTTGTACCCCGAGTATGCAT